GGTTCAGCCACTTGGAGGAAGACTGCAGGCAGCACTGGCAGAGTTCCTGTTTACTTGTTTTATGATGGTTGTAACGAGGAAGCCATTAAATTAATAGCCGTGCTTTATTTTTAATGCTATGTTTAGCTAATCCTGACTTACAGTGGCACTCCCCACTCACAGAAAATAAAAATAAAACTCACTATGATGGTGGACTCCACCACCAAGAAAATGGGTATGGTGGGATGTTCAAGAGGTCACAGAAGGGAAAAAATAACATATTTTTCATTCCTCCTGAGGGAGTGTCACTCATGTCCCCCACTGGTGGCCATTGGAGAGATTAACTCAGACTGTTCAAGGACTAAATATCACAAAAGCTCTGCCCCACAGGCAAAGAGGAGATGCCCACCCAGAGACTCCAGCAGAGCTGCTCATGTATAGATGCACATGCAGAAGGCACAGCTGGAGTTTCTGGGTGACTCAAATTTGTTTTCTGGTCTTAAACACTGAAGGTAACTTGTTTTTTTAATTCTGTAGAGCAGGCAGTAGGAAGTGTACCAAACCGAACTGCATGCACCAGTTTGCCAAAAATGTTAGCATTAGATGGGAATAAAGACGATTTACCCTGCAGCTGTCACCCCAATATCAACTCGGTATTCAGAAAGGATTTTGGAACTAAGCTTTCAAGGATCCATAAGGAGGTGAATAGATTCCAACTCCTCAAAAAGATCCAAGTGAGCCCAAGGGCTTTGTTTCAATTCACGTCAATTAGCAAACCTGCTCCAAAGATACAAGAAATGAATTTTAAACACACTTTCTGAAAACAAAGGAAGATGCGAAGTAGGAATCAAAATGAGATTCCAGGTCCCTGCTGCCTCTTCTCCTACACTCCCTGGGACAGCAGGCCTGCCATGCAATAGCTCCCATACAGAACAACTCAGGGCAGCAGGAACCAGACAAGTACTATCAACATCTCGCAGCAAATGGCACAAACGAAATGGCTGGATAAAGCACAAGCTATTCCAATGAGGGCAACCAGGGAGAGCATCTAATTTAGGCCATTCACAAGGGGAAATCAGCTACAGGAGCAGTTTGTTACATAGCCCTGAGGGAACAATTGATTTCAACTTGGAAAGAAAAGTTTGTGTGCTGCTCTCCCTAGGAAGATGACAGAGGAAAGTTTCCTGCCATGCTCTGACCTCTATAAAAAGTCTGAAAGAGCACACGTGTCATTAAATCCAAGACACACTTTTGACTGGGAGCTCTCCTGAGACCAGTGGCTGCTCCATTTGCTTCCTCTGGCTTTGCCCCAGGCTGCAAAACCACCACTCTGCCAGCACAATTACACACCAGAGTGGGAGATGGAGGGGCAGCATTACTGGCCTGAACAAAGGTGATACAGCTCAAAGGTGATACAGCCCAATCACCTCAGCCCACACCAACCTTCACTCCCCCAAGGAATCAAGAACAGGGAAAGTGAGGAGGATCCAACACACACCAAGAGCAGAGTGATAGGGCTGACAAGGCAGGTGAGTCAGTTCAGGAATATCACATCCAGCTTTGGACAAGGATAAAACCCACATGAATGGGAGCAGGTGTGGGGTTACATGTCACAGGACACTGAACAGCCCTTTAGGCTCCCATGGGTTCCAAAAAAGGGATGGTAACAGCCCACTGAGGGGGCACAAGACAAGAGAAGAAAAAGGTGGTCTGGAGACACATATAAGACTGGCAATGAAGCACCTGAGGGAGTCAGATACAAACAATTTATCAACAAGTTACAGACAAACACTTTTAACCAGTTTGGAAATAAAAAATAACAAGAACTTGAAAGACAAATTGAAAAATTTTGCTTGGAAAAAGGAGCACACAGCATGAGATCACAGGACTCAGCAGACTATAAAATAGGAAATGAGACTTACTCTTCTCCCCCTACAGCTACACAAAACCCTCCTACATAGATTACAGACATACTTGGCAATTGCCTTCCTCCTCCCGCCTCTCCTGTTATGGACAAGGCAGAGAAGGTAGCTGCCTAAATGCAGAGAGGATATTAGATAAAGCATCTTGCAAAGTCAAGTGTGAAATATTAACAGCAGGAGGCAACGGGTTGAGTTTTTATGCAAGATCACAAATTTGGTGCTTGGAGTGCCGGTGATGTTCTTGCACACTGGAATCTCAAAGTGCTGCTTGTTGAATGTTTCATTTACAAAGCTACTGAGGTCCACTGGAAATTTTTTATCAGTTCTGTTATTTCCTGTATCTTCTCTAAGTTCTCTGGTTTTGTTCTTTTCCCTTCCTGCAATGCTAAGAAATTATGCATGAATAAAAAGGTTGTTCTTTCCATTCATCTGGCAAATTTTAAAACAATTCATACTCTTAAAGCAGGCACTCTGCAAGCTGTATTTTCACATGAAATTACCACAATTGTGTGCATTGCATCCAAATCACCGGATGCATTTGTACACAAAATTACCCAGCTTGCAGAGAGCTGCAATAAGCAGGCAAGCAAAATGGACATGCACTGCTCAGCTGAAGGGAGCACTGTGCTGCACCTGGCCACAGGAAGGTTTGGTTTTAGCTGGTGAAACAGGTATTCCTGGTCATAAAAGAGCTGCTTTTTACCCAGCACATGCAGCACAGACAGCAGCGTGCCTGGCTGCCTCTACCCCACCTCAAAGTTGCCTTTGGAGGAAACTGCCTCTAATTCAGCTTCCACAATAGATTCAGACCTTGTTTATCCTGCTGTCCCAGTTGTCCATGAGTGCCAGCTGTGGTGGTAGCGGTGTGGAAAGGACATCCATTCAACTCTGGACACCAGGCTCCAGGAATAATGATTTCTGCCACTCTGGAGCACAACTGACACCTGCTGTCACAATTTTGCACAGAAACAAAATTGCTCTGAACATCCCCACAAGGAGTCAAGGAGAAACATAAGGAGAGGGAGGTTAGGAGAAGGTGCAGGGCTTCTTCCTTCTTTTCAAGGGCCTTGGTACTACAGGAGGAGCAAAGATGACGGGGAAGAGAAAACATTCACTCAAGAAGTTCTGTTACCTGCACATTTTTTACTTGGATAGCAGCTGAGACTCTGCAACTGAACTTCATCTTCAGCAGTTTCCTATTGACATCCCTGGTGATTGTATTTTCCCCCAGGCTCAGGTGTCTGAGCTGGTGATTAGGGCAACAGCAGCAACAGAATTGCTCCTGGGCACTAGGAAACATCAAAAGAAAGGGACTGCCTGAAAGGCAGATGGGGCCACAGTCCCCATGGACATGATCACCAAGAAGTTTGTAGACATGTAGCACAGAGTAAGCTAAAATCAAACCCAACACAGCAGGACAGAGGAGCTTCTCACTTCAAGGCTGTGACACAAATGAATGTCTGCCCTCAGAAACTTTTGGAGGCAGAGCTAGGCAAGCCAGTATTGAAGTGCAATGACAGCTGAGAGGTGCATTTTCAGCTAACAACCAAGCAGTCCCTCTTCTGGAGGTACTGGATGGCCTTCGAGTGCCACTGTGTCCTTGCTGGGCTGCAAACAGCCGCAATGCACCTGGCCAACATTAGCTGTAGCTGTTACATTTATGATTTTATGGCTGATTCCCCCCCACCCCCATTGAGTTCACTGTCTGAAAGAACACATCTGTTTATGTTCCACAGACACCTGTGTATCTTGAGATGACAGCAACTCCCTGAATGCTGTAATCAGTTATTTCTCAACAGAGGAATTGCCAATTTGGTAAATAAAGCTCATTATAAAAGAACATGAAAATGTATTACAGTTGCCTAACAGAGAAAATTGCCCAGCGCCGCCAAATAATCAGCCCTGGCATCACAGTCCCCCCCAATTTAGGGCAACTGAAATAATAACATGCAAATTACTCATGCAAGGCAATGCTGGATAGGGGCAAGAGGAAAATGAGGAAGAGACAAAATACATACTTTTCTCTTCAGACCAACAATAATTTCAAACCTAGTCAGGGACAGACCTTGGTGCTCTAAATCTCTGCCTGCAGAGACAGAAGTTCTGTGGCTATCCCAAGCAGATCCAAAAGCTGGCGTGGCAGCAGCAGCTTAAGCCTACCCAGTCCTGCTCCAACAGATCTGAGGGCACTAATTGTCCTACATTGTTTTGGAAAACTTACTCTTCCTCCCTCAGGGACAGCAAGTTTGACCTACACAAAGATGCAGAGCTGGAATTTTTGCAAGATCTGAGACTAACAGAGATAAGCCATGCGTAAGCAAGCATCACTGCTGAGGATGAAAAGTGTTGTGGCATCAGCTCTCAATAAGAAGGAAAGGCATTTTGTTGCTTTAATGGAGATGTAAAGCACTAAGTTGCTGTCTAAAGAAAAAAGAGATGAAGCAGAATATAACACAGAAAACAATTCTCAGCCCCTCTCATCCATTTTCATAAATGCTGCATTAAACTCTGACACGACCTCCAAAAATCCATGTTCACATTCTTCAAAAACTGTCAGATACAGTCAGAGAAGGCAGAGGAAGCTAATGCTGCCAGACAGAGAAGCTGTACCCAGAGAAAAGGAATCAGGTTACCAAACTAGACCTGCTCCCCTGGTTTGCTGACAAGCCTTTTGCAATTCTGCCACACCCACCTCTAGGAGAATAAAATTCCAGATGCATCCAGTTTCCTCCATTCCTCAGGCAGCAAGGAGAGGGCTCAACACAGAGCACAAGGATGAAAGGGACAGTGGTTTATGGCAGACACAGCAGGAGCTGCACACAAGAGCTTGTGAAAAGGAAGAAAATTTGGGCTCTGCAGCCAGCAGGCAAAGGTTTTTCCAGTATGATTCCCCACCACCAGTTCCCTTCAGCCAGGACTTTGTACTTTCAAATAAGCCAGTCTTCCTGGGACCAAAATGAACAAGTTTGGTGATTTATAAACTGTGACTTGAAATACTGCTATTCCTCACACTCATTTGGAGCTTTCGTTGGCATTGGCAATAGGCAGAAAACAGCAGTTTACAAACTCACGGGACTGAAAGTATCTCACAGCACACAGTGACTGTTAAACACTTTATTGTTTAGGAGGGAACCTTGGAAGGAAAGGAATGTGCCTGCTGGTGTAACCCATGGGAGCATGCTAGGAACAGTTAATCCTAACAAGCTACTCCGGGTTACTTCCAAATACTTCAGACCCCTTTCTCCAGAGCAAACAAACAGAGGCAACAGCTCCAGAAATTCAGATGTACGTTGGTGAAACCAAAGTTAGAACTGGGTAAACCAGGCTTGTGTTGGAGCAAGACCCTAAGCTATAAGCTATGCTGGAAGCACCTGGGGTCAACACATTCTTTACATTGCAAAGCAATGAAAAGAAACTATAGCATCCCCTGCTCCTGAGACCCTTCTCCCAACCCCAGGAATGTCCAACCAGACTGATACATGCAGGCAGTTAGAAGAGGAATCATGTTGTATTGTCTTGGTCATGAAGGGCAGAAGGCACTGGTTTTGGTCAGTGTCTGTCTAGAAGGATGCTGGAGCTTCCAAGGGCGTCCATGGTCCCTGTTCTCTGCTCTTTGGTGGATGATGTTTATCCAGAATTAACAAACAGCTCCTGGAGAAAAAAGGAGACAAAAGAAAAAGGCAGAAAGCTAGTTATACAGCTGCTGACATGGGAATGATAACATCAGAAATAAAAGAGTAGCACTGGCAGGGTGAAAATCCCTCAGAAAAAACTTCAGGTTTCACCTACTGTAAACCATAAGATATTCAAGGGGAGAGGAGTGTGGAAGCAAGAAAGCAGCTCATGATATCAAACATAAGGCTGATTCTGTGATCAAGAGCACATGGTCAGTTGCAACAATCAGGATTGTGAATCCATTGGCCTACAGTGGGAGAGAACAGCTGGGGCTCCAAGTAAGCCTTGGAGCAGTGAGTAAGTGCAACCCCACACTAAGTCCTGCCTCAGCATAGGAGGACATAGGAGCACTTTGATTAGCTGCCATCAAACACACACACACACACACACACTCACCATTCTCTCATCCTGGAACAGGGTCAATACAAGACCACCAGAGAAGTGAGAAGAAGAAAGATGGGGACTCAGAGACCACCCTAACTCCTGACATATCTGACAACCTTTATCCTATTAAGACCCAAGCCCTCCTAAAATTCAAAGCAAAATCACATCTGCTTTGTCCCCACAGAAATCTACTAAGTGGTACCTCCTCAGATCCTGCAGGTATCTGCATATGAGCTGTGAGCTTCTGACGGTTATTGTAAGACAGACAGCTTCCATTGTTTTTAGGATGGAGATTGCAAAGTCTGCTGTAGCCTCTTCCTATTTTTATCTTACCGCATCAATAAAGTCATAAAATTGAGCCAACAATGGCATCAGCAGTGGATGAGAACACACATGACACCAGCTGTAACACCTCTCCCTCCGAGGATCTGAGAAATCAGTGCTGGATCCCACTTCCCAGGGTGGGCAATCAGCTCTCCTGCAGCAGCAATGGCATGGCTGTGTCAGTGCTGCAGGAGCAGCAGGATCACAGAGGGTAAGCCCACCCACAGGCTATCCTGCTCGTGCTCTGGATACGTGCAGGTCCCTGTTGCAGAGCAGACAGTACTGAGCCATGACAAGAGGTCCCAGCTAAAGCCAACTGGAGAAAGACAAGTGAACACTTCACTGCATACAGTCTTATTGCCCATTTTTATTAAGGCTGTATCTGAGCTCAGTTCTACTCTCCAGATGTTTGCCTTTCTAAGGAGAGGAGCTGTGCTTTCCTCAGTGTGAATCAGAATGGAAAGCACAAAAAAATAATGACGCTAGCGTGCTTGGCGCTGTCTGTCAGAAGGTGAGGATGTCATTTGGGCTGCTTCTGCACAGCAGGCTGATATTGGCTGATACATGGCCAATGCAGACTGAATATGCTGGTCTTGAATCTCCAAAGACAGCCCCATCTCTGACAACAATGAACTAGAAAAGCTTCAAAGAACTCAAGAATAAAGAGAAAATTGTACACCGAATTATTTAGACAAAGGTTATGCAGAAATCTGACAAATGAACCATCAATAATACTCCACTGACTCTAATTTCCCAGGTAATTTTTCTCATCATTAGTGACTTAAAAAGTTATGCACAGAGCAATATATTTTAAAAACTCCAATAGCACTCACTGAAATTGCAATGAATGAAGCAGTAACAACTCACGATCAATTTTGCAATGAAGTAATTTGCTGTATTCACATTGTAACACTTCAGTAAAGTGTCCAGGAATGCTACATTTTGTGAAAAAAAGAAAACAAACCAAAATCACTTCTGTGCCTACTCTGTGGTTAACCCTTCAGAAAGACAGTAAAACCCCTCTTTTCAAACACTTTTAAAGAATATCAGAGTTACACAATTTCATGCTCAAATCATAACTACATATTTCAGCTTCATCTAGTTGCAGGTGTCTCTACCCATGGCAGGGGGGCTGGAAATAGATGATCTTTAAGGTCCCTTCCAGAATAAACCATTATATGATTCTATGATATTTCAACTTATTTCAGGAGAAAATGAAAACAGCCAGTTCTTAACCTCAATGAATTCTTTCCAGCCTAACCTACCCACATACCAGGTATGCACTGAGCTGGAGGCTCACAAACATTCCTTGTGCAAAAACATCAGGTTCCATCTCACTCTGGATGACTAAACCTCCTCAAAATCCTTTGCACAGTGTGCCTGGACACAGAACTGATGGGCTGAGGGACACCCTAACTCTGAGACTAAACCCACTGTTTGCCCACCTAGCTTTGCAACCATGCCAGTGCAGACTTGGCACCCTTTAATTTTCTTCCAACCTGGAATCCTCTCTGCAAGATTGTTACCAGGTTGCTATAGCACTTACCTTGAGCAGAAGGAGCCAGGAAAGGGAAGGAGAAGCTTTGCCTCTTCTCCATGCCCTTATCACTGCATATGCACCAGACAAGGTGAATAGGCAACAAGCCCAGGCAGTTTGCAATCGCTGCTCTCACCAGACAGGATACTCCCAGTTAATGGAGCTGAGGCTCAGACTGAAAAGCTCTGGTGCCTCCTCAAAAAATGACTGCCCTACAGTTGGCATTAGCTGGTCTCTGCTGCAGTCTTAGCAGAACAAGAAGTCAGAGATGAGCAGCCTTGGAGAGTGCATCACACCCTCAGTCTGATGAGAGGGAACAGTGCCTTTCTTCTCTAGAGAGGGCAGGTCATTTTTAATGCCACTGCCAAGGCAATCCAGGTAGAGACAAGGTTCCAGTCTTGATGAGCTCCAGCCCAGCTCCTCTACATATGAAAATAGTGTCCATACAAAGGCAAATTCCTCATAGCACAGAGATGGCAATCTGCTCAGTCCTGACAGCAAGTCCAGCTGGAGGGCACACAGCACTTGTTTTCTTCCACGCCTCTCACAGCAAATGGGACCTTCGAGCCACTAACTCATGTTCTTCCACCACTGTGACACCCTGCTCAGTAGCTAACTGCAGTCAAAATGGGCTGCTTAGCTGGCACAGCCTGCCACTTTGCAGTCCCTGTGGGAAAGCCAGTAGCTTTCCAGTTCTGGTTTCAGCTGAGTGAGGAGAAAGGGCTGAGCTCTGCAAGTAGATCTGCTCCACAAATCCCACCCCTGCTGACAATGGAATCCAGTCAATGTCCAACACAGTCCTTGTCCTCCAACAGAGCTGAGGCCCTGGTACCCAGCATTGGGGCGAGCAAGCTTCAACAAGATTTTCTAATGCACCTGTTCCTCTGTCCTGGTCCCTCTTTCTCAGTCTGCATGCCAGCGCAGAAGCTCGGGGCTGCCTGGTGGATCTGCAGTATGCTCTCCTCCTCCCCCAGTCACTGGCCAGCTCTGTGCCTCAGCTCTCAGCCTTGCTGGAGGCTCTCAGCCAGCAGAGGAATCTCCCTCTTTGAAAAGCCAGACCCTGAAGAACTTCCTCCCTCAGTGTTTGCCAGAGACACTGTTTGCCAAGCCTCAGTTGTGTTAAGACATATTTATTTAACCAGCCGTTAGTCTCACAGGGTAAACCCTGCAAGTTCCCTCCACCACGTGCCCTGCCTTTGTTTTAACATCCCTTTAAGCAGTTGCACCACAGCACTCACACATATGGGCACTGTGTAGCTATGAAGAAATCAGAAAGCAGATCCCCATGATAAATGACTTGGTGCATTTGGAGTGTCAGAGACAAAGTAGAAATTAATCTCCATAGTTCCTAGTTCCCTGCCGTGTGCAGGCAGCTCTCAACATCACAATACCTGTTGGCACACAGCAGACCTCAGCAACGTGACTGCACAACTTTTTCATCTCAGTTAGTGTGGAAAGAGGCACAAACAAAATACAAAAATCCTGACCTGCCCTAAGATGGGTGTTCAAGGCCTTTACACTGGATGAGGCATTTGTTGCAGGGCTATTAGCACCCCAAAGCGCTGCAAGGGACATTTGAGTCACTTTGGTTTGATGTATGCTGTAGGTATTTTTTGGTTATGTGCAATTTGTTCTGTTACACTCAGAGTATTGGCTATTTTGTGGAGCAGCTGTGCTGACTAATGGATCACAGCACTTCTGTGCCATATAGTTATTGCACAGAAAAGCCTCTCTGTCTCTCTCATCCTTCAGGAGTCCAACAGTTGCTGTCCTTGGGACTGGAATAAGGAGGACCAGTAGCATGCCTGGCAGCAACAAAAAACATTAATTCAAAAAGCTATGAAGAGAGTTTTGTTTTCCCTCTTCTCTGTACTGGTGTCAATAGTTTTGCAAAGCAGGCAAGTTCACCCAATGACTTCTTGGCTACTACCCCAGATGGTGTCTTCAAAGTTGGCTTGACAGCAGAAAAGATTCCTTTCAGAAAACTCACCAGATGCATTGTCAGAACACCCTGGAAAGTGCTTTCACGTGGAAGTCTGGTCTACATACCCTACCAACAGAGTGCTAGGAACAGAAAGAGTCTTTCTGGTTTCCTCCTCCCTCTTCTTCAGCTCACAAGAGCCTACTGCTTGCTTTGCTCTGCCTTGACACCTCCCCATCGCTCTGCATCACCCAAATACAAAGTTATTTACCAGCACAACTAATCTCCAGCTGTTCTGAGACTCACCTGTTTGTTCATGCATTATAACATTGATTTCCTCCAGACAGTTGTTCTGATCATTGTTCTAACTCGCAGAGAGCTCCCGTCATTAGCCTTGCTTAGCAGGAAATATTTTGCCACTGACTGAGCAGCTCTGCAGTCAGCAGACTGCACAAAAAAATCATCCTGGTTGGGGGGCTGCATCTCCCTGCTGAGCTGGTAACCCCAGATGTCGCAGTAGGGAACAAGCTCAGTGCTTTTGATTTTGGACATGTGCTAGAAAAGAGTGGGGCCAGGAGGAACAAACACGGCTCTGCAAAGGGCTGCTGCTGAAAGGATGACTGTTAATTAATCCACATACAAACCGAGGGCAGTTTTTGCTCAATCGATGTTAATTGCATTTAATCTCATTCTTGCCATTAAGAAAAGCCACCGGGCCAGGCTGATGTCGCTAGTGCCTGACATGTAGATTCCACCCACGTTTGGGAGGCAAGGCAGGAGGAGAAAAGTAATGGAAAGAAAGGAATAACC